AAACATTTGTGTATACATATAAAAAATAAGCATATACCTTTTTTCCCTCTTTTTATAAGTAATCAAATACCTTCAGTTTTCAGCTTCAAGCAATGAGCTTAGAGAGCTGGGGGAGGAGAAACAGCAGAACACTGGTCTTCCTATGAATGGGTGCGCAGGCTGGGTGTGTCAGCAGAAGCCTGATCATTGGAGGAGAGTGGGCTGAGTTTTTTAGCATATCTGAAAACTGACCATGCTGTGGGGGGGGGGGGGGGTTCAGAGGAGGAGTGGACAGTGCCAGTGGGGGACTCCAGAAGAGGAGGTTCAGGGGAACCGGTAAGTATAACATGTTTTTCATTTTGCCTTTACAACCACTTTATTTTAATTTTTATCTGAGAGCAAAATGGGAGCCCTGAAGGCAAACCCTACCAGTTTGTGTGCAGTGGATGTCTGGTCTGTCTACCTATCATCTTACAGTATGTTGTATGTTACTCCCTTGCATGCGGGAGTCTCAGGACACGCACAGTGCTCTGAAGGAACGGCATGGGTATGCTGTTCTTTCAGATTGCATTCTCCAGTGGACAAAAAGAGCGAATATATATTTATTTATTTCAGGTACTTATATAGCACCGTCAATTTACGCAGCGCTTTACACATATATATTGTACATTTACATCAGTCCCTAACCCTCAAGGGGTGTACAATCTAAGGTCCCTAACTTAGATTCATACATACACATACTAGGGCCAATTTAGACAGGATCCAATTAACCTACCAGCATGTCTTTGGAGTGTGGGAGGAAACCGGTGTACCTGAAGGAAACCCACGCAGGCACAGGGAGAACATGCAAACTCCAGGCAGGTGGTGCCGTGGCTGGGATTTGAACCAACGACCCTAGTACTGCCAGGCGGAAGTGCTAACCATTTAGCCACTGTGATGCCCGTATTTCCTAAATGATGCACGTTTAGGAGATATTCATTTCACCTACAGGTAAACTTAATTGTAAGCTTAGCTGTAGGTAAAAGATACAAAAGTGGGTTTACTTCCACTTTAAGGCTGAACTCTAGGCATATCTCTAAATATACAGATGCAATTCTGTCCATATAAGGAAGCTGTTTTACCTGCCAAAGGATTTGTAATTCTGTCCATCCAGTTTTGGTTTTTCACAGTTCTGCCACATAGCACAGCTCTGTCTGGCAGGGCAGGAGAACTCTTTTTTTTTTTTCTATTGCACTTCAGTAAGGTCCGGTTAACATCTGTGCAGTCTTTTTTTGGTGGGTTGCGATTTAGGCATGTCTTCTATGCATTTAAGGGACTTTTTCTATTGAACTTTATAGAATGTGGGTTTTGATGAATGCACATCAAAGATGCAGCACGCAGGACTTTTTTGTAACACACTGCACCTTAAACACTTATAAAACGCACAGGTGTGAACAGAACCTTATTTTTATAGGTCTCCTTCCCACCCACAACATGTGACCAGTGGTGTAATTTGCTTTTGTTTGCCTCTCAGTAAATATGCCCCTGCCTGTGACTGGACAGTAAAAGAAGAATCAGAAAACTGATGGACCTCATTGCTCTGTTCTTTCTTCTCCATTCTGTTGGGATGCACCCAGATGCCCGACTGACAGCTGGCACTGGTTCTTAGCATGCATCTGAGAGCTGAAGCCAGCTGTGCCCACCCTCTCTCCTGCCCAGTGCTCCGGCTGAAAGCCGAAGCCAGCTATGCCCGCCTCCTCTTCTGCTCTGTGTTCCAGTGATGTCAGCAAGCCGATCCTGTCTCTCAGTGTATCCTGACAATAATGTCAGGATTCATCCAGATGCCTGACTGGCAGGTTGCTCAGCACTGCTGAGAGCCAGAGCCAGCCACTCCAGCCAGCTCTCCTGCCTAGCACTCCAGTGAGTGCTGGAGTGATGGAGCAGAGAGAGGTGACTGACAGTCACTGCTGTGCTCAGAGCAAACTGAGAACTGAGCGATCAGTGTTCAAACAATTGCTCAGTTCTAAGGCTTAAAGCCGGTGGGGGACAGCTGTAGCATCACATTGATCCTGCATGTTTTTTTTTGTTTCCCTCACTTCTAATGTATCATCAAATACAGTGCTGCAGTAATTTGTCTCTCGTATATTTGCCTGGAGTTCAGTTTAGTCACGTCTCTCCGTAAAAGCTCTGTGGTTTTCTTCTAATCTGAACTGACATTAGGGAGGTTTATCTGCCTTTCACTGAAGTGTGGGGTCAGATAAATGCTGTGCATTTTTTTCTCCTCTTAACTTTCATACAGCTTTCCTCCCAGTTCATTATTTGTAGATAAAGATGTTGTGTTAGATCCTCAGGATGTTTCTTCATGTGGCATTGTCAGAACTTATCCGGTGACTGATTTCAGAATTCCTTCCTCAGTTGACGCCTATTGAAATCTGGCTGAAAGGCTCCCTTTCTTTCGTTCTTTTTTTTTTTTTTTTTAAATGAAAGTTCCTAAATGGAGAGTTTTTGATTGCAACACTTTAATAGTGTCTAGTGGTGGCACACGTCCATATTGTGTTGTAGAAAGGATAACTCTTTCAAGAACTGGCTAGAACTTTCCAGCCTTGGGGTGTATTCAGCTTGTCTGAGACTCTTCTACGTTGAGACTACACAGGGCAAAGCAAACATACATCCACCCAGCCAACTGGTGATGCCAGTATATTTCTACACGGGGTTAGATACAATGCTAGTTGTCCCAGAGCGCAATAACGTTGGCCTTGAGACTACTAATTATCTGTCTGCATAATAAAACAGAGCTGGCACAAACGTGTAACAATGTCTCACAGTCTACTATGCTGTCACATAGACATGAACCAGTCTGTCTACGCTTTCATGTAAAAGTCTAATGGAAACCATTGTGAGGAACACAGATGTGTCTCTTGGTGAACATGTGCATCTTCTACATGTTCCAGCCGTGGTTTGCAAAAACATTGTTTACTGGCCAGCACAAATAATTAAAATAATGCTTAAAGTGACTCCATCATGGGAAAAATATTAATACTTTTAATGCACAAGAACAGATGGTCATGATCCGATGATATCATCTTTAATAAGCTTTATTGAAAACTGAACATGGACTCAAGGAGCACAACGGTTTTGCCCATAGACTGCCATTCACTGATGTGTTTCGCCTCTTTCCCCGGGCTTGGTGTCTGTGGAAACATGGGCAGTCTATGAGCACTGTATGGACGGGACTTTTGTGTTTAATGTGCTAATGTCCCGCTTTCAATATGGCTTATTGAAGATAATGTCATCAGAGTGCAACCGTCCTTTCTCATCCATGTAAGCCAGGCACAGTGGAGTCTCTTGCGGCCCAAGTCCCGAGGTGGAACAAGTGGAATTGTTGAGCGGTGGCAACCTAATGGCATTATTACTGGTGTAAGTCACAGACCTAGGACAAGTATGCTTTAAATTGAGTGTCAGAATTCCTAGTCTCCATGTGCTAGGTCAGAGACCCAGAAAACAATAAAACCACCAGAATGACAACCAGGAACCTAACATTCTCAAAAGAAAGGTCTGCAATGGCAGGCCCCATCCTTTTCTCATGAAAAATGGAATTTATACTTTGCAGACCAAAGAAACAGGTTCACCTAATGTGGGCCTCCATAGACTCATATACTCTCCTTCCTTTGGTTCCTTTGCCACATGCTGCTACTTGCTGCTTCAATCATCGCTTATACAGTGCTCTAGACTTACCTGTGACATCACTGATTGGCCCAGTGCTGTCACATGGGGTAAAATCACACATTTCTCCATACCTAAAAGTATCTGCATTCTATTATTATTATACAGGATTTATATAGCGCCAACAGTTTGCTCAGCACTGTACAATATAAATGGAGACAATACAGTTCAATACAAGAGGGATAGGTGGGCCCTGCTCCTTGGAGCTTACAATCTAGGAGCATTCTGTACTTTACTTCTCACGTCTGCATTTTATAAGATACAGTATGTTGTACATTACATACCCCTGACTGCCCAGAATGCGCAAAGCACAGGTTTTTTATTGTTTTTTTTTTAATGTAAATTTTTATTTAAGGCCAAAGCCCATTTTTTCAGAACAAGGTTACAACAACACTTTAGGTGTGAACGTTGCAGTGAAAGAAATCTACAAACAATATAAAAGAGAACAAAAACAAAAGAAACAAAAAAAAGTATGAACATATTAAGACAGCATGGTAAACTGTATGTTACAAAAACACAAGACAACATAAACCTGAACATTGTTGTGTTACAGTAATTGTCAGAGGTTTGGTAAGTAACGAGGTATCTGAGCTATATAAGGGAGGGGGGGGAGAGGGGGAGAAGAAGGAATTCTACCTAAGTGAGAGTGATCCCATTGTTCCCAAATAGATCGAAAATTACCTGACTAGTCACCCACTAGGGCTATAGGATATTCCATTTCTCTGATTTCAGAGATTGCGCTTAAAAGGTGAGTTAGTGTGGGGGCATCGACTGATTTCCAGAGTCCTGGTATCACCCGTGTAGCAGCTGTCAGAGCACAGATTGGTTTTAAAGTAGAACCTAACGCACCGTATTTTTCACTCCATAAGACGCATTTTCCCCCCCCTCCCAAAAAAGGGGGAAAATGTCAGTACGTCTTATGGAGCGAATATGGAGAGGCTGGTCCGGTATTTCCCCCGCCAACACCATGTCAAAATACCGGGCCGGCCGCTCAGCTCTTCTCTGCAGCAGGATGTTACCTGATCCTCGGTCCAGCGCTGTAAAGTCTTCCCGCCCCGGCATCTTTAGTGTGGGAATCCGGCTGTGACAGCCAGGTGCTCACTGTGCATGAGCGAAAAGCGCTGCGCTTTGTGAATGGCCCGGCGTCTTCTGGGACCTGTCATGTGTCCCAGCCGGGTGCCCACACTAAAGGGAGGACAACTCCGCGGAAGTGGGAGCGGGTACCTGTCAAATTCAGGTACCCGCTCCCCCTCCCTCCCAAAGGTCCACAGTCTCTGGTCATCCCCTGTACTGTTTGCAGTCTCCGGTCATCCCCTGTACTGTCCACAGTCCCTGGTCATCTCCTGTACTGTCTGCAGTCTCTGGTCTTCTCCTGTACTGTCTGCAGTCTCTGGTCTTCTCCTGTACTGTCTGCAGTCTCTGTTCATCTGTACTGTGTCCGCAGTCTCTGGTCATCCCCTCTACAATGTCCGCTGTCTCTGGTCATCTCCTGTACTATGTCCGCAGTCTCTGGTCATCTCCTGTACTGTGTCCGCAGTCTCTGGTCATCTCCTGTACTATGTCTGCAGCCTCTGGTCATCTCTTGTACTGTGTCCGCAGTCTCTGGTCATCTCCTGTACCGTGTCCGCAGTCTCTGGTCATCCCCTGTACCGTGTCTGCAGTCTCTGGTCATCTCCTGTACTATGTCTGCAGTCTCTGGTCATCTCCTGTACTGTGTCCGCAGTCTTTGGTCATCTCCTGTACTATGTCTGCAGCCTCTGGTCATCTCCTGTGCTGTGTCCGCAGTCTCTGGTCATCTCCTGTACCGTGTCCGCAGTCTCTGGTCATCCCCTGTACCGTGTCTGCAGTCTCTGGTCATCTCCTGTTCTATGTCCGCAGTCTTTGGTCATCCCCTGTACTATGTCCGCAGTCTCTGGTCATCCCCCGTACCGTGTCTGCAGTCTCTGGTCATCTCTTGTACTATGTCCGCAGTCTCTGGTCATCCCCTGTACCGTGTCTGCAGTCTCTGGTCATCTCCTGTACTATGTCCGCAGTCTCTGGTCATCTCCTGTACCATGTCCGCAGTCTCTGGTCATCTCCTGTACTATGTCCGCAGTCTTTGGTCATCTTCTGTACTATGTCTGCAGTCCATTGGTTCAGAATATTTTTTTCTCATTTTTCTCCTCTAAAACCTAGGTGAGTCTTATGGTCAGGTGCGTCTTATGGAGCGAAAAATACGGTATATCTAAATCTCCTCCTTGTAAAACAATCCATTCAGTTTAAAATAGAAGTGAAAGGCAAAACGCTTGTTTATACATATAAAAAAAAGCAAACATTTTCTCCTTTTTTAGAAATGATCACATTCCCTTTTTTCTCAGCTGCATAAGACCCAGGAGAGGAGATAAAGCAGTACACTGATTTTCCCAGTGAATGGCTGTGCAGAGGGGGGCAGGACTAGTCTGATCATTGGAGGAGAACACGCTGAGTTCCCAGCACAGCTAAAGACTGACCTGGCTGTGCTCTCATTCCTAGTGTAGTCAGTTTTTTTTAATAGGAAAGCAGAGGGACTGGCCAGAACACCCATGGATTTCATACAAAGGAAACAATACAAAGAGAACAGGATACTTTTTAATACAAGCACATGGTACAGCAGGCACATATCAGGAATATGAAATGTTGGGTTTACATACTTTTTAAAATAGAAAAATTTGGGGTGACTAAAAAAATAAACACTAATATTCACTTCCATGCTGCAGCATCAGTCTAATGGAAACTATCACCTTTTATAACTTCCAGGAGAGGCAAGGTAGCAGAAGTTCTTATGTGGACTGTATTTAAAGATGAACTCCAGGAAACCACTAAATACACAGATGAAATACATATCTGGAAGCTGTTCTATCTGCCCCAAAAAATTGTATTGGGGCCAGTTCACTACGTTGCTGCGGTAGCACTTTACTGCAATGCATGTTATGTGCACTGCTGAGATGTTGTGCCATCCATTTGAATTGCAAGAAACCTTGCCCACGGACATGTGTTGCCATACATTATGATGTGGTGTCGAAAAACGTTGCATGCATTTGGCCACTAGTTGGTGCTAAGTATCACAGGAATTTCCAATGATACCTAGTGCCATCTAGTGACCATATTCTGTATTTTCTGTTTTAAAACAATGAAAAACATTTTTGTCCAGCACAGGAAATAGCTAATAACATTTTATTTTTTGCCCTGTTTGCACAGAATAAATGTACATGCACTTTCACTGGGCAAATTGCTATGCACATTTTTTATAAATACACCCCTAAGTGTTTAGATACTCTTTAAGCTTAAAAAATGCCTAGCTATTTATGGATGCCATAGCATTTATTTTATCTAAACACAGTTTATCCTTTAAATGTGTGTATGCTTTACATCTACCCCTCTAAAACTTAGAATATCACAGACTTTTTACAAGTAGCATTTCATATCTCAAGATATTATGCCCTGTGTTTTAATTTTCCATTCATAATATTTCAAATCTTGGCTTTAGTTGCCTAAAGTAATACAGACAATATGTGTGATACAGACAAAATGTCCATTATTGTACTTTTACTGCTGCTGGCTATAACAGTTTAATATGTTTGCATTACATCATCATTGGCGACCTATTGGTTCATCCTGTTTTTTTGAAGCATCATTGTTGTTGACCTTTGTCATGCATCCATGAATTACTGTGATTATAGCATTTTTTGATTGGAACTTTGTTCAGTCCTCCTTTTATGGACAAACTGATGGAAAGAAAATGAATAAAACTCTTCCTCAGGGCCATTTTCCATCATTACACAAAGCCATTTTGTTGTTCTGAGATGTCATTCATGCTATAAAACTGTGAAAAGCTCTTTTGTTTCTTAGACTTTCCCACTAAATAGGAAATAATTGTGTTCTTGGAATATATGAATTTCATCTTTCCCTATTATTCATGCACAACTTCAAAAAAATCCTAAATTCTCTATCAAACGTTTGATACATGGCATCTGTATGTTGCAAGGGATCGGCTTGGGATATTCAGTGAGTGTAGTAGAATCCTTTATTGCATGAGCTGTTAAACCAAGAGAGGCCTAAGGCAAGATGGGCACCATATCCCAAATCAATCAATCAATCAAATGGGATGGGCCTTTGAAGGCTCCAAATATGAGTCAGAAACCATATATTAAAATCATACAATTGTACTTTTTGAAACAATTTAAACCAGTTTGTTACAGTTTGCACCACACTTTCATTTGTCATGGATCTTAAACTGTGGAAATATATTCCAGTTTGCCTCTCAGAAACCACCACTAAATGATAGAATACTTACATACCATTCGCACATACTAAATTTATAGAATCCTATATTGCTCACTGCTAAAGTTGATATCACATGTATGTACATATTGATTGGCTGTAAGGTAAACCATATTCCCTGCACCAGAAATCAAGTGCGGGCTTAGGTTCATATTTGTGCGCGTGCACATTGCACACATGCTCATACTTATGAGCGAAGAGGCAATGTTAGATGTGCTCACGTACACACGAATGCATGCATGCCAATTAATGTGCACCCTTGGTGCCCAGTGACCTATTGGTCTGTCACCATGAGCAGTTGCTGAATGGTCTTCAGCCTGTATTTGTCTTCCTGAGCAGGGGCGGACTGACAACTCATGGGGTCCCCGGGCAATAGAGGATCATGGGGCCCCTGTATCCTTGCCCAAACTCATGAAAGCCTATGAAAAAGGTACCAGGGGCATCTCATGGGGCCCCCTACTGACCTTGGACCCTCAATAGGGGATCATGGGGCCCCTGTGTCCTTGCCCAAGCTCAAAAAAGCCTGTCAAAAAGGTACCAGGGGCATTTCATGAGGCCCCCTACTGACCTCGGGCTCTCGGGCAGTGCCCGAGTTTCCAAATGGTCAGTCCGCCCCTGTTCCTGAGACCTGTTCCACTGGACCTGTACATGGCCCGGCTTTCCCCTGGACTTCGCCTTTTCATCTACATTAACCTTGATCATCTGATCACTCTGACCTCAGCCTTTTTACTGGAATTGTCTTTGCTTGCTGATTCTGTACCATGCTGCCTGGCTGTTACTGACCTTGGCCTGCTTCCTGGACTTGTTCTGTAAGCTGAGTTGATCCTTTGTTGCCCGACAGTCACTGGTTACTGCCTCTGCTACCATCTCCTGCTCTGGTGCCAAGATTCTTCAGCATCCCATCCTGAGGACTGCAACACCCAGCTTCACCTGCTTAAAGAGTGGACTTCCCCATCCAGCTACTCCAGGACCTGTGCCACGCCATTCCCTCACACTCTCTGTCTCCACCTTCAGGAGTGCTGGGCAGGAAGTGCAACAGAGGCCTCCACAAAATGACAGTTGTCACCAGCTACATGATAGCGGCTGTGTTCTTAATGCATTTCGCTATCTACTTCTTCAGGACATGGAGGCAATCTAGGTCACAGTTTATAACATGTAATAATTCCATATTCTTGACAATCTACATACATTTACAGCACATACTATTAATGCTTATAGGTATGTAAAAGCAAAAGAGATAATATAGTCTAATCAGACGTAAGTGATGCACTCACATGGAAACACAGACCCATGTGTAGACCTTGGGGGAGAAAGCATTCAAACCAGTCCTAATCTGTCTATAAATGTGTAAAAAAAAAATGTATATATATATTTATATATATATATATAGTCTCATGATTTTAATATATGGGCTCATGATTTTAATATGGTCTACACTCATATTTGACAAATTTAAAGCCATTTGAATGATAGGTTTATGGTGCAATTATTTAGGATTTGGCCTCATACCACAAAATAAATATTATAAGATGGGTACCATGTCTTCAACCTGTAAATGGCAAAGTAGAAGAATTTAATAATATATCAACAATTTACTACTGATGGGGACTTGAATAGACTGAAGGGTTGCGTTGGCATGGAAGAGGATTTAACACCTTATAGCTTAAAGACCCACTTGCATCAAGCGCATATGTTTTTGTGTGCCTAAATGTGTGTTTAATTATGTGTTTTCAAGAATACTTTAAAAGCAACAGTCAAACAAAATACTTGTCCTAAAGAGACTCCCCTACTATCACATACTCCTATAAACATATATATATATATATATATATATATATATATATATATATATATATATATATTATATTATATTAATATACACAAATGGACATTTAGAATGTTTTAAATATTGTGTTAGTTTTTTTGTTTAATATTGTATCAGCTGTGTGGCATTAACCAATTAATCCAGAAGTTAACTCCCCCTTCCCCCACCCAATTTTTTACATTTGCTTTTGAAACTTGACCATGGCTGCCAGACGTCAGAGAGAAGTCAGTACCACAAAATGCTTTACATATTGTATTCATTAACAGCTAGTTAAGCCTCATTTTTAACTGATGACAGAATGCTATAGTCACTCTACAGTTTCAGATACTTTAGCTCAAATGTGTTTTCAATTAAACATATGTCATCCAGTAAAGTGGCAGATAACCTGCAGTTAAACGTCTAGCAGGGATAAATTGTGACTTCCAGCACCTGAACGCAACCATTAGCTTGTTCCTTCTTAGAAGAGTTTTTACCAACTGTTTATAAAATCCAGGAAATGTCAGATCCAAATTCTGCATTATAATATCAAATTATCACATTTTCCTGGAAAAATAAACTTTGTCCACTCGTTACAGAAGATTTAAAAAAAAATAAACTGATTTTCTTGGAAGTTTATTTGATATTGATATAAATGATGAGAAATTTCTGTAATGGGTTTTTAATTTTGTTTTTCTTACTGCCTGACCATGCAAACTGTCCTTATTCTGAAATAGCTGTCCTTGTTTTCAGATCCATTATCCAAAGGGGTGGGATTCAGATTATACTCCAATCAGATCTGAAAATTAAACCTTGAGATAAGACAACCTACCTGCTGAGTAGTTCAGATTT